TTTAGCCTCATAATTCTATCTTCTGCTCATACAGACTTCATCTAATCCCTTTACTTATTACTCAGGGCTTAACTTTCATGACATTAAGTATCCATTTAAAAACCTGCCCATACTGCCACAGCCGTCGTGCTGACGGGGCCCAGCTGTGGCTCCGTTAAGAAACGTTTACCATTTCGTGGACCGAGACAGTTTCTCAAAATTCTTCTCATCTTTTCTTTTATGCTGCTTTATTCCCTTTCCTCTTTTTTCAAACTTAATTTAAAAAAAATTTTTTTTTTTGTGAAACTGAATATATGGGTGGCTGGTCAAATGCAGCGGTGCACTCCACCGTAGTCCTACTTGGATTTATTTTGGAACTTCCAGTGCCAACAAGATACGACCATATTGCTACTCAGCCGCTTTAAGCTGCCCCGCACAATAACCCCCTCTTAAAGCCTTAGCTGGAACACCATGCAATGAAGCGACATTCATTTTACTGCAACGGAACACCGTGGAATTTGGGCCTGGCAGAATAGGGAGTGCGTTGGCACTCTTTAACGATCGTCTCACTGCTACTTCTGGAACAGCAAATAGACCGAGATGAGAAACTCTCGTCGAATCCGCTGACTGAGCAACAACAGTAGCTTTGTGCGTCGTCTGATCGTAGGTGGCTAACAAACGCATTTTCTAAATGCAAGTGGCTATTAAAATTGATGAAATTCAAGCCAAAACTGCTATTCGAAAATTTTTATTTCTTGGGAAATCGTCACCAGAAGCATCCTTGTAAATCTATCTCATTGCTATTTCAGTGTCGTAAAACCGTCAAACAGCCGTGAAACAGCCGTGCCGTCAATACCCCAGAAAGCATAACGAATAAAATTTAACGTCGATTAATAATTCAGTCGGACATTTTATCATATGCTTTTGAAAGTCCAGCGTTTGTGACTTTGAAAACTGTATAAAAGACACAATACGTACTTCGTCCCCTGACACACCGTAACGTGAAATTTGACGTACCTCGCAACCAATTTAACACAGCCCAGTAAGCAAACCATTCATACCGCTGATGACCTCATTGCCTCAATTTTAGCGTAGACACGGTCGACTGGACCGGCAAGTCTTTCAGGTTCTCGGAATCATCGCGACTCAGGTTCTCGGAATGCCCGGACCAAACTCGTACTTCAGACGGGGAATTCCCTCAACTAGCAACAAGCATCACTTTTGCCTTGTCGACGCATCTGACACGACCACCAACACTTCTCCCGTCAGGCTGGGCGTAGCACCCCACCCGCAACACTCATTTCCCCGGCATTCCCCCACAGCTACACGAATTAAGAAACGCCACACCCCAGTGAGTCCTCAATTATATGTACTCCTGTCCTTCACATTCCAGCCTCCAACCTCTTTCGCCGAAGTGGTGCCACAGCTCCAACTCGCCTAACCTCCCCCTCCCCCCAACTCATGACCCATGTGCAGTTACACCCCACCACCGCTCCAGTCATCCAATGACTCACGAACTCACCAACCTCCCAAAAATGCCGATTGCTCTTGAAATCCTCAGCCGCCACTGGCATACGAATTCGAAGCATACATCGAATCAGATGAAGGACCACCCACGACCCCTGCTACACTCAACGATGGGCCGTGGCGAACCCGCACAGTGATAATGTGGGTCCTCTGGACAATGAGTGCTTCAAACAAAATCTGAGACAAGAACTTTATTTTTTTGTTTTCGATGATAAGAATTCAGTACAACAGAAAAAGTAATCGCTTGCGGCTTCTCCAGTACAGCTACTGGACAAATCGACGCGTCGTTCCCTGGATGCTCGATGCTGATTCTCCAAACAAGCTTCTCTCTTCCTTCACGCCAGAAAAACCTGCAATACCCCCGTCCCTCCTCCCGAAGCCCCACAGAACAACTGAAATAATAAAATCTGATGCTGTGATCGCTCTGAACTCTGTTTCAATTTTTGGAATTTTCGAACAAAGAACTGTAAAAAAGAGGGAGACGAGCCAAAACCTGTACGGCTACTGCTGGACCGTTGAACCTCCTAATGGCAATAAAACTTATCAGGGCCAAAATTCGTCTCGAGAAGACTTCAGTCGTGCCTATCGTTTCGCCAAACACTCCCGAAATGCGATGTGCGGCCGTCAGTGAATCCGGGATCGGGGCATAGCTGCCACTCGTTGGCGTACTTAATCGAGCCTGTCCTGTGTCCCTCCAGATTGTTTTTTGACGCAAAATCCCGAAAATGATTTGGTTGTGGCGTAAATTTGGCGTCGCACATTATGCGCATTCGGCTCTTTGCTTGAGGTCGTTGATTATCCCTAGCATATCCTCATCATAAACAGTGTTTCTTGAGCGACACTGAAAAAAGCACAGATCACCTTCAGTTGTTAACAGACAATACGCACTTAGAAAACCACAAAAAATTTTATTAGAATAATCTGATCTTAACGCTACTCAACGGAAGCGCACATTGATACGAGAACAAACTTCCTTGAATAAACCAAAAACGCTTCATTCACGAGATTAATACGACAAAAAAAAAAAAGAAAAACAACGTTACTAGGGAATATTTCTGCCAAATCATCCGGAACATACTCCTCAAACACTTCCTGCACTGATGCACCTTAAACACAACAAGGAGCAGCTGCAAAGCCCCAAGAACTATTACATCAAATTATTTCACCGAATTCCGTTAAATGATTTCACGCGTGCTACGAAGGTCACTGAATTTATGTCCCGGTATGCCACAACGGGGGGAGATCCTTTTTTGAGTGCAAAATCGTCTGTGAAAAATGCAAAACCTTAAAAAATGAGATATAAGAACTGCAGATGGAAACAATAATTTTAAAAATTTTGGAAAGAAACAAAAATTTCCGCGATCCGTACATCTTATTTTATGGTGAGCGTGAGCGGGAGGAACGACCAGGAGATGCAGAATGAAGGGGCGAACGGGAGCGCGAACGAGAGGCCGACTTTGGGCTATATTTTGGCGAACCACGTGGCGAGCGGGAACGCGATCTGTAGCGATCATCAATTGCTGCTTCCTTCACTCGAATGTACGACGTCTCGCCCTGAAAACAACACAGCGCCTAATCATTCTGCAAGCTTTTGCTTCGTCCTTTGCACAACTAGCACGTGAATCGAAACAAACTGCA